GCGTCGTGACGACGTCGACGTGGATCAGCCGCGCGCGACGGAACTCGTCCTGCTTCTCCCGCTGCACGTCCTTGTTGAACGTGAGGTAGAGGAATCTGAGGTTCCGCCGGTGCGCCGCGTAGTCCTGCAGCACCGTCGACTTGCCCGAGCCGGCGGCGGCGACGATGCCGAGCAGCTCGCCCTTGCGCAGCTCGGTGTTGATGATGGCCTGCCACTCCTCGTCTCGCACGAGCCCGCCGCCCGACGCAGCGTCCGCCGCGACGGGGGCGGGCGGCGCTGGCACCGGCACTGCTGCGGGCGGGGCACTCATCGGCACTTCTCCCGGAATCTCCATTTGCGCGAAGGCGTCGTCGTCGAGGCAGTAGGCGTCGTACTGCGAGGCTTGAGAGGCTGAGATGTCCTGTTGGGAGCCTTGCGAGAGCGACTGCTGCGGCGCAGGCGGCACAGGCGCGAGCTGGGCGAGCAGCCGAGCGCGATCCTGCTCGGAGAGGCCCTGCAGCGCGGAGAGTAAGCAGGCATGGTCGGTCATGGGCGATCGAACGGCTCTCACCGAGAGCGACAGCGACAGCGACCCTGAGCGGGAGCTTCAAAATGCCGCAAAAAAAAGTACTCGCATAATGTGGGTAAACGAAAAAAGTAGCGCCCAATTCGTCTACGTACGGCTTAGTGTGTGGTTGGGGTGGCCTCAGGCATCCCCAAGGGAGCCTCTGCGGTGCCACATAAGCAGCTTAGTGATTGTCGAGACTTTAAAGGATTCGTTTGAAGAAACGCAAACAAGACAGACACTACTATGGTCACCAGTAAACGAAAATTCGACTTTGAGGGATCATATCTCAAAAGACTGGGTGAGAGCATAGCATTATTATTGCATATTAGGCCGCATAAGGTCAGACTTGACCCCACAAGCATCCAGAACCCGATGCTCCGGCTCGACTGTGCCGGCACACTGCCTCCTCGCGCACGCGGCTAGCAGGCCGTTGCGGCCCGTGGTGCACCAGAGAGAGAGGTCGACGCGTTGCCCCCGCTGGCGACCCCGCGCGGCTCAGGCCAGCCAGAAGGTGTGTGGTGACGGCACCGTGGCAGGAGTGCGGAGATGAGCTCGCCGAACGCGAGCAGCAGATGGCCAAAGTGTGCCAGCGCGAGAGCCTCGCGAGCGGGCGCAGAAGGAGCTCGCCGTGACACGATGCCGGGCGGTGGTGGTGCTCTGGCGACTGTGCACAGTGGGCAAAGTCAGGCTGCAACAGGGCAGCACGATGGTAGTGCCCTGCTGCAGCCTGGCCTCGTCAAATTCGCCGGCCTTGCCGCATCTGCAGGCGGCGTAGGCGCCAAGCACCGCCCCGCACGCGGTCGACTCGTGCACCTGCCCCTCGCGCAGGTACTTGCCCAGCTCGCCCTCGTCCGAGATGGCGATGTGCGGGCCAAAGAGGATGATGATGTGGCCGTCATCTGGCACGTGGTGCGAGAAGGCGCCGAAGGTGTGATTGACGGCGATGGCGACGGCTTTGGAGATGGTGACGAAGGCGGCGGGGGCAGCGACGGCGACGACCCCTACCAGGGCTGCCCCGGGGGCGTCATCGCGGACGAGCCGGAGGAGCACTCCCTCTTCGCCGAGTTCGGGATGTACTACAAGTCCCCCGATATTGCGCCGCTGGCGCAGCCGGCCAACCCGCTCGAGGCGACCACCGGCGAGGCGACCACCGGAGCGGGCGCGGCACCCACCGGAGGGGCACCCGCCGGCACGGCGATGCCCATTGAGGACCTCGCCGGTGCGGTGGCCCGCGGGGCGGCCGGCGCGGCGGCCACCGGAGCCGCCCGCACGGGGACGGCCAGCGCGGCGCCTGCTGTGGTGCGGGTGCGGCGACCGGCGCGGGTGCCGCGCCCGCCGCTCGCCGGG